AAAAAAAAAATAAAAAATACTTTGTAAGAAATTACTTAATTATAATTTATTTTTTTTTTTTAATCAATTACACAATTAATTTTTTTCTTAAAAAATGAATGAGCGTTATGAGGCGTGCACTTTTGGATTTTCCAAACTTTATTTAATTATTTTTAACGTGCAGTGGTCAGTTTTTAAGACAATTTCCGAGGATTGATTTCAATTATCGTGATATATAAATTAAAAAAAAAAAATTCGCTGTCAGGGGAATGTCTCCCTAAAGAATAATATTCTTTAGAGCGCTAAAAATAATTCCAATTAATATATTTAATCATTTTTTATAAAATAAAACTGATAAAAGAAAAAAATTTAATTGTTAAATACTTAGACAGTACAATCCACCGATTGTATATCTATAAATGAATATATATATTTATACATAATTATTTATAAACCGATTTGTGTATATATACTTATACATATAAGATGATTAAATTTTGGAAAACAAGTCACATAACATTAAGAATAATGATAAGGAAATATTATTTCTCATTTACTGTTGTCTTATTACTTGTACAGTGTGTCTTTATCAGTCACGCCGGAACACGGTGAAACAAGCCATGCATAACATTTCTGTCCCAGCCGTGAACTTTACGAATAGTTTATGTTAGATAGCAAGAGTTCGGCTTCGAAACGATAACCGTTTGTTCAATTTGTTGATGAGTCGTCCTGGTTTCTTTACATTAACTCAATGTTTATCCAACCCGTGAATCTTATGATAGTGCTATCAATCGGCGTTTAATTAATCATTAAATCATTCTTGTTTTTTTTTTCTATTTTTTTACGCCACTCGGAATTATTTTATTAGACTAAAAAATACTAGAAGAAGATGATAAATATTTATAGTAACTAAACAACAAGCTATTTATTGATTTTTTGCGTTAATTATTAGAATTATTAATTATTAATAAAATAATATATTTAATTATTATTAATTATACTAGAAGAAGATGATAAATATTTACCGTTACTACACAGAAAAAAAAATTAACTTGAATCAAGAAAATAATTTTAAAGAAGTTCAACTTCTTGATTAGAGTATAAAAATTCTTAAACTAAGAAATTTTTCTTGGTTTAAGTAAATTTTACTTTATTGAAGAATTTTTCTCTTGATTCAAGTTAATTTTTTTTTTTTTAGCGTAAACAACAAGCTATTTATTGATTTTTTGCGTTAATTATTAAAATTATTAATTATTAATTATTAACTATTAATAAAATAATATATTTAATTATTATTAATTATACTAGAAGAAGATGATAAATATTTACAGTAGCTAAACAACAAGCTATTTATATATCGCGTTAATTATTGGAATTATTAATTATTAATTATTATTAATAGAATAATGTATTAATAACATATTATTAATAGAATAATTATTATTATTATGCACAGTAAAAAATTTTATGACATTAAAGTTAGCAGTCGCTTTACTATTTTTTAATTTTTTTTAATAAATAAATTTGCTCCGAAAAATTATTTCTAAAAAATTGCAATTTTTATTTTTTTAATTTTCTAAATGTCAATTTTTTCATTCATTTTCTTTGACATAATTTATTTGTTGAAAAAATTCTTAAAATTACAAAATATCTGCTAAATTAATTTTCATAAAAATTTTGCGTTATTTCGTCAAAAAATTTTGTGTTAATTTAACATAATAAATGTTAAATTTACATAAAAAAGTGTTAAATATTTAACATAAAAATTTTTAACATAAAATTTTTTGACGCATTGACGTAAAATTTTTTACTGTGTGGAATATATTTTAAATTTAAATAACTAACCATAGTTTGGATTTTGTTGAATCAATAAAATAAATATTATTAATTAGACGGTGGTTTGCAATACTGCTCAAGTTGTTCGTAACTACACCACCGATGACAGCATTCTTCGACAATACCCGGTCCAGTGGGTGCTTTGCTGTTATCATCACCATTATTTGAAAACGGTTCATTAAAGCCACGATTATTGCAGACGAGATAAAGAGCGTCACTCAAACTTTTTGAGCACAATCTAATTGTCTTCTGGTGTGGTCGTGATTCGACCAAGGTCAATGAAAATAATAAGAGTCCAAGAAGAATCACCGATAATCTTCTTGAGAGGAACGTGAATTTTATTGTATACATTATTTATTATTTACAAATATTACCCTCAATATTAAATCACTTTTTTTTATCCACTTTTTAAAGCCCTCACTGGTGTTACTCCAATTTTAATATCACTAACGTCATTAATTAATAATAAATAAATAAATAAATAAATTTTATTTAATTATTAACTTTAGTAGGGTTTTTAATTAGCATAAAAGGTAAAAAATATATCTAGTGTATTGTTATATTATTAATAATAATAATAACAGTATAAAGAATAATAGAAGACAATTATATTAATTTGGGAGAGACACTCGAAGAGAACCGACGTTAGCCGGTACTTGAGTCCTACTAAAACGATCTCCGGCTTATTTTCTGCAACCACCAACACTTACAATAATTCTTATATTTCGTTCGCTCTGTTCAAGAGATAGCTTGCTGGTCTTGTGTTGAGGGAGATTCAAATAAGATGGGAGTAACTATTACTCCAAATTATAATGCAGCAATCAAGTATTATTGAAGATATGCTAAAAATAATATTCATTTGAAATATATTATTCAATTATTCTAACAATTCACTTCAAATTATTATCTTCTTTCATAGATTTATTTTTAAACTCAACCACAAATAATCCCTTATAATAAAAGGATATCTTTTAATTTATTAAGTTTTTTTGGTGTAGATTATTCTTCAAATTTTTCAAGACTTAAAAAATTTTTTTTCTTTTAAATTTGTAATTTTTTTAATTGCAACAAACAATACAAGCGAAGTGTAATGCAATGGATATTTTTGAAGTGACAGAAGATGAAGAGAATAATCGCCTCGACTAGACACAGCGTTTTATCAACACGTGGTTGACCGAGTAGGCGCCAATAACATCTTTAGAAATCACCATCAAGTATTCTATTGTGTCCCAGATTATAATATTTATTATTATGTTATTGCTTTCACTGTAATTATACTTTATATAGCCAAGTCTAGATTACATGGACCGTGAAATATATATAAATATGGAAATTGCGTGAGATGTCCCTGTCAGATAAATTATTTTCATTGATATCTAGAGCAATATTTTTGTGTTTATGTTAAATTTATTTTTAATAATTTATCTAGTAAGATAATAGGAAGTTTAGTTTCTACCTCTATAATTTATCTGCTTTTTAAAAATACTTTTACGATAATAAAAATTCCAGTCCAAAAATAGTTTTAGAAATAAAGGAACATAAATATGTATTTTTAAATTTTATCTTAATTTTAAAAAATTAAATATTAATCATTATAATTACTGTTTTTTTTCTAAAGGGATTTTTTCTTTAATTTCAAAATAACAATTAATAATTATTGGTGTCAAATTTTTTATGTTAAGGCGAAAATATTGGTCGTATAAAAAAAAGTTTTTAAATAAAAGTTCAAAATTTAATTTTATAAAAAAAATGTCTTTTAGGACCAATAAAAAAGCCGTAATTTCAAAATAAAGATTTTTATAATTAACAAAAATTCAAATCATTAATTACAAGTCTTAATTTTAAAATTACAAAAAAATATTAGTCGTAAAAAAATATAAAAAAACAAATTTTTTGGACAAAAATCAATATTAAAATTTAAAAATCTTGGCCCTAATAATTAAATAAAATAAATACTATCACACTTGTGCTAGATACGTTTAAAAAAAATGATTAACATAATTAAAAATATAAATTGCCAAGTTAAAGAGTGAAATGACCTGTTTTTATAACAATTAATTGTATATATTTAAAGAGCAATGAATTGTAAACAACTTTTTAATCCAGTAAAAGTGTAATTAATGATTCCTGAGGGTAATTAGCATTTTAAAGAGGATATAATTTGCGTAGTTCGAGATCAGCGGCTGTAAGCTATAAATAAAAAAAATAATAACAAGGGTGATCGACAGGGGAATGTCCCTCTAACTCTGACTCATTCCCCTGCCGATCGACATTGTTATTTTTCTTTAATTATTAAGATAATGTAATAAACATACACATATATATATATATATATATATATATATATATATATATATATATATATAT